CCAGGCATGTCGAAGTAAAGAGGCGTCTGATCGGCATTCCGGATTTGCCCAAGCAGGTAGCCGTTGTTGCGCCGCAAGTTTAGGACGAACCTCTGAAAACTGTGAAGCTTTTCGTCGTACTCCTCCGCAAAACTTTTCGCATATGCATGTTCCCCTTCGGAGAGAAAAGCCTTTACTCTTCATAAAGTTAGTTAGCCAGCACCTGCTTGCTTTAAACTGGCTCCGCATTAGACCTTTTTCTAAGACTAATTGCATAGCCCGCACTTGGAGCAGTTCTGTCGTCACGGGCCGCTGTGCCGCTTGCTGCTCAAGAACATGCTCGCCAAGCAGCTCTTTAATTTGCGGAAACCGACCCTGCTGTGGTCCACTGAAGCCTTTGCGTGAAGCTTTGCTGTCGACAATCTTCTGCTTTTGTTTCCGCCGGTCCCGCACGCACGTTTCGGGAACTCCGAACAACCGCGATGCGGCCCGATTTCCGTCCGTTTCTGCACACGCCTTGACTTTTCTTTTAAAAGCGGCATCGTGGTGCACTCGAGTTTTTGGAGTCGGCCCTTCCACGCCGTCGATGCTAATGCACTACTGGATGACGAACTCCTCAGCACACGTACGAAGTGCCGCACATGGGAAACACATAGGCAGAAATGGCCGACGCGCCATGCCGGCGCACGTGGGGGGCGGCCATTTTGGACTTGCCGATGGCAATAGATTTACCGTAATTTTTTTGTTCGTACTCTATTCTAACGCGCATGCGATTTATGAACTCGATTAACCGGAAAAAAGGTGTGCGTTAAATTCGAGTAATTACGGTATATATAAACATCCTGGAAGAAATCTACAGGGGATCAACTGCTATCATAGTGCTTCATAAAGAAAGCAACAGAATACTAATCAAGAAGGGTGTACGGCAGGGGGACACAATCTCCCCAATGCTATTTACCGCGTGCTCACAGGAGGTTTTCAGAAGCCTAGAATGGGAACAGTTAGGGATGAGAGTTAATGGAGAGTACCTTAGTAACTTGCGCTTCGCCGATGACATTGCATTGCTGAGCAACTCAGGGGACGAATTGCAACTCATTATTACGGAGTTAGACAAGGAGAGCAGGAAGGTGGGTCTTGAAATGAATCTGCAGAAAACGAAAGTAATGTACAACAACCTCGGAAAAGAGCAGCACTTCGAGATAGGTAATAGTGCACTTCAAGTTGTAAAAGACTATGTCTACTTAGGGCAGCTAATAACCGCGGAGCCGAACCACGAGATTGAAGTAACTAGAAGAATAAGAATGGGGTGGAGCATAATTGGCAAGCACTCTCAAATTATGACAGATAGATTGTTACTATCCCTGAAGAGGAAGGTATATAACAGCTGTATCTTGCCGGTACTTAGCTACGGAGCAGAAACCTGGAGACTTACAAAGAGGGTTCAGCTTAAATTGAGGACGACGCAGCGAGCAATGGAAAGAAAAATGGTAGTTGTAACCTTAAGTGACAAGAAGAGAGCAGAGTGGATTAGGGAACAAATGGGGGTTAAGGATATCATAGCTGAAATCAAGAAGAAGGAATGGACATGGGCCATGCATGTAGCGCGTAAACAGGATAACCGCTGGTCTTTAAGGGTAACTACCTAACTGGATTCCCAGAGAAGGCAAGCGGGTTAGGGGGAGACAGAAGGTTGTGTGGGCAGATGAGATTAAGAAGTTTGCGGGTATAAATTGGCAGCAGCAAGCACAGGACCGGGTTAACTGGCGGAACATGGTAGAGGCCTTTGTCCTGCAGTGGACGTAGTCAGGCTGATGATGATGATAAATGCCAACACACTTTGCTGCTTGGCAGATTATCGACAGCTGATGCTCTGGTTTGCTGTCATCAGTCTACAGCGCGTATTGCTCAAGAGTGACGCTACGTTTTCCAGGCACAGGTTCACCCAAATGAAAAGTTCACTCGGGAAAACAGCGGCTGCTGCCTTCGTCAATATCACAACTGTGTAATACGAAGGCTGAATGCTGATTTTTTTGGATCCGACATTGCGACACTCTAAAAAATGCTGGTGTGAGAGAATAAGGACGGCCGCTTCAGAGAGAAAGGCTCTTATCGCACAATCTCTTCCTATTGAGAGCTCACCACGTATAAGGGTACGAGCCGCGTGCTGATGCTTGCCTATAGCGCGCGCGCCAGCTTATCGCAACCACGCCTTAGAATCAAAATTCGCCTCTGCTGCTCGAGCACCCCCCCTTCCCCCGGGTCTTTTTTCATGCTTGTTCAGGACGGGCGGCGTGTTGTATCTCTGCTTGAGCATTCGACGGCAAGTGTAACACGTGCTGGGATACTATCGCGTGCACCACCCTCCGAGCGAGCCACAGAGATCGGCTACCTCGTTTAATCTCTGCGTCAGCAGCGCTCAGCATCCCAGCTTGTGCAATCTTATGCACGGGTAGAACATACGATGCGCGGGGAATGTTACCAACTTGTAGTTTACCTGGAACATGGCAGCAATGGCAAAAACCCGTCGAGTGTCCATATAATTGTAATATATATGTAATAAAAAAAATCACCTAATTGCACGGCGAGTCCATCTAAATTTGTTCGCTGTTTTCATGTCGTCTGTAGCACTTCAATGACTGGAACATAAATTCTTTACACTCATTTTTATAGCGGCCTATTGGTTTAGTATGAAAATAGCTTTTATTAGGTCATGTCTAGTCTAATTGACTTGCCGTTCATGTTGGATGCGGTGTTTTATTTGCATCTTGAGCATTGCCACATTTTAACATCAATTTTTTTTTCATTCAACTGAGTTCTGTTAGCTGGCCAGAGTGCCAGTTATGTTTTTTCTTTGAGTTACTGTGCTTTCATCTTTGATGTAAGATTTAACATATTTATCAATTTGCAGTAAGTCTGGTCACTTGATCAGTATTGAACGCTTAGTAAAAACCACTGAAATTTTTTGGTTTTATGAGAAAGCAGAAATTCTAATTAACAGTGATGTGTTACTCGAAAAATCTGCTCCAAAACTAAATTTTAATGCTTCCAAATACATCTTTTGGTGCTCCAGGGCTGCTCCGAAAGACTGAAGCCCGCTTCCACCCCTGCCTTTAATTGAATGACTCGTATATTGGAAAACATTTCTAGTGGCCGAAATAAGTGGCCATTGTGCTGCGCGACGACATTTTCCTCACCCTAAAACAAAATCTGCATTTATTACTGCTAGTATGGTATGGCCAAAAGCTAGTCATTGTGCTGGGCCACAACATCTCACTTACGTAAAACAAATTCTTGTATTTTCTGCAAGTTTCCTATACCTTCTGCATCATCACAATGCTGTTGCAAGGTCTTTCATAAAGTTACCATTCAATAACCCTGCAGCACACACACCATGCTCACGTCAGAGTCGATATGCCTGTCTCGTCATCAAGTTTAGTGGAGGTCACTATGGCACTGTGACCATCAGAAAAGTTTTTAAGGTTCTTCCTGGCAGTTACATACCTTGATTATAAGCCACTCTATGAAGGCAGAAGAGGGGTTGATGTGGTATGCAACACAGCAGTAGGCGGCAGGGGCAGTGATAACGATGGCTGATGTCTGAATGGACTCAGAGAATCGAACCCCTTTTCAACTTGCCTTCTGCAAGGCCCCAACTTTCGCACAGGTTTAGTGGGACAACGCCTAATATATTTTGTCAATGTTAGCCAGATGCGCCCGATCCAACCATTCACTACTCTCTCCTCATGCCCTTTCCTGCTCTCTCCCATCGTCTAGCCTTCGCATGTGCTTTGCAGTCATGGGGGAGAGAGTTCCTCATGGAGTGGCCTCATGACAGAAATCATACGAAGTAACTGTTTAGTGCAGTTGTGTACAGATCTGAGGGGTGGTATCTTGCATTCCTCATGTTCACAATATTGGCAATCACGCTGGCTCTGTGAAAGACAAGATGTTTTGAGATAATGTGTCACCGTTCGTGGCACTGTGCGGGAAACCAATAGGGAAGCGCCACTGCAACGCGTCTGGATGCGCTGCTGTGTGACGTGGTGGCGGCATTGCTTCGAGCCACAAAGAAGCAGCACGAAAGAACAAATCTGACAGACATATGATATTGAAGTGGGAAACGCGTCTATCGCATGTACAAGGCAAAGTGCTCGGAAGCGCGTGTGACGCAAGCAGCACTACCCATCATGTAGTGTCTCATCACAACCACTCTCTGAACTAAAGCGGACCAACGGCTCCCGTTCAGAAGCGTGCGTTTGCACTGGCATTGAAAGAAATAAAGGAGGCTCTGGGTGGGAGCACTGTTCTGACTTTGCAACCACCTCAGGTACTATCTATACCTGTTTAGTGAACTTGTAGTGCAGAATATCAAATGCTTTGACCTGGATGAGTACAAAATTCTATTTTTTATGCTTTGCGTCTTTGAAAAGGTTTGGTAGGAGCACTGTTGTGACTTCGCAATCATTTTAGCTACCGTCTATAACTGCTTAGTGCATTTGCAGTGCAGAATATGAAATGCCTTGCCCTGGATGGATCTAAAACTTTATTTTCTGTGCTTTGCATCTACGGTGAGAATGGTAAAGCTGTGATAAATTCCAATTATTTAATATGTCGAATTTGGGTGTTTTAATTCAGTGTTCGAATTATGGCGATTGATTGCAGTCATGTGTATTTTGCTTGCACACTTTGCAAATTCACTCGCCTGACACTGATTTAATCATTTGAAATGAGGGGGGCAAGAGATGAAATTTGCTTACAAGTGCCATGAATTTGTAGGGCGCTATAGCATGTATGTTGAAGCATGAATGTCTATTCAACAAATGGCCTCTCTTGCTAATATTTTTTTGTAGCCTTTACCTTTTTCATGCTAATACATACCTTGATTGTAAGCCATCACTGTATCCTGATGTGGTTTTCTTTTACCCTATGCTACAATGTTTTGCTGTTGGACAAGATGTACCCGCCAACCCAAATAAAGCCTCTGCTTACAGCTAATATACCCCCCAATTTCTGTATCGCAGTCCGTCAGGTACTTTTCGTCATCATCTGGGCATGCACTCTTGGCCGGCACCACTTCTGGCTGCTGCCAAACCTGACTGAAGACGTGGGCTTCCTCGAGTCCTTCTGGCCCATCTACCAGTACGAGTACCGAGGCCCAGCCAGCAGCCAAGACAGCAAAGCAAAAGACGGCAAAGCCAAGAAAAAGAAAGAACATAACGATGGCAATGGTGGTGGTGGTAGCAAGGGGGACCATTCAACGAGCGAGGACTCTGAGGGGAAGCGGTCCTCTGACCAAAATGGAGGGCAGGGCGACAGCAATGGCTTCGAGCTCGTCGACGATCCCGTAGAGGATGATGGCGGCAAGGAGAAGCAGTCCTGATGCGGTGGAAGGCCACCCTGCTGGCTGGGTGGGTTGGAATAAAAAGGGAGGACGACGTCGGCACAAAAGGCTTGGATCGCCGCAACAGCAGGCTCACACCATTTGGTTGGGCAATGAAATGCTCCACTCGGCTGCACCAATGCACACCGTACCGTACATTCTTGCGTCCCTCTGGACCCTGTGTCATTTTGAATTCTGATAATGTAAATTCACTGAAGCAAAGAAAGGAAGCAGTTGTTCTTCCATGGCATTACAGGTCTCTGTGATTGTAACACTGTAAGGTTAAAAATATTGCTTTGTTTTGGTTTCTTATTTCACAACTGCAGGCAGTTTCTAGAAGAGGGCAGTCAAGTCATTAAGACACCAGAAAAATAGCACGTAAATTGTATCACTCTGGTTTGCATCATGTCTAACCGTCGTAACAAAAGATGGGTTCGTGAGTGTGTTGCAAAGTTCTTGTTGGTTTAGCTTTTGTGGCACAACGACTGTTGCAAGCACGAGCTGCATCCCTGATAGACAGTTGCACTACTCATACTATGCAGTTTACCAGCAAGCTATTCTTGGAGTTTTGTCAGTGGCAACTTCGTTGGATTATCAAGAGGTCCTAGTCTTTTGCTGAAACAACTTTTTGTTGCACGCAACTGCAGCTTGTAACAAGTTGATGCCTACATGACTCGTGTCTCCCGACACAAAGATGTCAGAGGCGCATTTCTGTGGTATACAACATCTTTACAAAAGCGATAAACAGTGTACCAAATGAAGATTTTTATTATCGTTATGTCAGCTGTTGATAGATAGATAAGTATAAGCATTTTGCTGGCTTTTTAAAGAAGCACATCGCTCTTTATTTTCAACAACAGCAGCTGAATCTTCCTCCCAGTATTCTATTTGCCACATAAAGATTCGTGCCACGACATGTTAGGTGTTTCGAGGTCACATAAATCTGGCATTTGGTTTCTTCTAGTTCAATTCTTCTGGCATATATTCTTTTGGCATGGATTTATAGTTGAGTGGATGACAGTTACAGATTTCTTGCTGATTGTACTGGCCTACTGGCCTCCATTTTTTTCCTTATTTACACCTTTTTCCTGTTTTCAAACCTGATTTACTCTTTCTTCATAGTGTGCACCCTGTATGTCTGCATTGAGCACCTTTGTGAAGCACAAAGCAGCATTTTGTGAGGGTGCGTGCTTGTTTTTGAAGTTGGTGACATTTGCCCTCTATGACAATTACAATCTCGTCACAAAACATTTGTTTAGTGTCTGGGTAACGAAAAATGTTTGCTTGAAGTGCTGCGGTCTTTCTTTTACTTGGGTATTCTGTTTTCCAGCAACTCATTTAAGCTACTTCTAGGCTATAGCTATTATTTATTCTTTTTCTCAGGTGTTCAGTTTGCATATTTTGGTTTTTCATCTTAAATGCAGGTGTACTTTGTAACATGTCATTGCTTGTGATCAGAAACCAAAAGAGATAGTAAATTTGGATGCCTTTATCGTTTTCTGCCTGTTATCACAACGTGATGCCATGAGATTCTCTTCTCGCGTCATTGCAGATTCACCACAGCTGCCGCTATGTTTCCATCATGAGTGAGGACGAGCTTGCGCATTGTACTTACGCTGGCTTCTCTTTGGGTGGGGTTGCACAAAAGCATTAACATGTTACCAAATAAAACACACTGTTTAAGACATTCCATGTTTCGCAGTGCCCAAATCTTCAAGGCCAGGGCTTTTCACCTGCCAAAACGTTTGAAATTCCAGCATCTCCGTGGTATTCACTATTGAAATTAGATAAGCAGTGCTCTCATCGTTGGAATCAGTAATTTATGACGTCAGCATTATTGCTCGCTAGACATTTATTGCAGCACTCTGGAAATTTAGACAGCATTAGTTTTGCACCGCATATTGCAAAAATGTAGCTTTATTATTACAATATTACTTCTGCGCTGTGCGACCCATTGGCTAAGTTCTTACTGTTTTCTCCCTGACTTCTTAAAAGGTGGTTGCGGTTGCTTCGCCATGCAGGACAGTTTTTTATTCTTCTGTTGTCCTATAGTTGCTTTGCTGAAGCGCAGTGGTTCCGACGCGTGAATTTACGGCAGCTTTCAGGTGTAACAGACTGCATGTTATTACAGTTGTTGCTAATACAGGCATCGTCAAAGTCAACATTGTGCGCAGCTGTTGACAGCCCGGTTTATTGTAGGGCTAGGTTTAACTTCGTTACTGAAAAACAACTGTTGATTTTTCTTTGCTCGTAATGCGATTAGTCGCACTAAGTGAAAGAGCTCGGAAAGCAAATTTAAACTCAATAGGATGTCTCTTTGAGCTCGTTGGTGAATGTTTTAAAACATTGTTTGTGTACCCACTAAGGTGGATACAAAAAGAAGGGACGACTTTCGAAGAGGAGCTTGCTACAGGCAGATTTGTTCCAGCTCTGTTGTGTTGAAATGTCGCAGCTTGCATGACCTCGTCCTGTGCGATGCATGTGCGAAAGTTGTACCTACGCTCCAACTCTTTGGAGTGTTAAATTAGTTGGTCCGGCACCTCGTGCGTGCTGTCATTTTATATTTCTTGACATGCTGCACACACAATCAATCTTCTCACAAACAATCTTTCACAGGAAAGGACATTTGTAAGAATAAAAAAGATTTTCACTTTCGTGGAGGACGCACGTTTTTGAGGCTCGAGCAGAATCATGCACACTGTGTAACATTGGAGCCGGTCTCTTCACCGCCTCATTTGCTGCTATGCACATGGTTTATAATGACTTTAATATAAAGCTTTTTGGATTGTCATCAGCGAGTATGTTTTTCAGTGTCATGTAAAGATTACTATTGAATCACATAGTAGTTTTCAGCAGGTCAGTGCACAGTACACAAAGGATCTGAATATCTACTGTGCTCTACAGGGGCTGTATCATAAATCTGGCTTCTTTTGTAGATGTGGGCTCATTTCGTCCGTGAATGCCATGCTTGATATCACATTACGAGCTTTGTTCAGCTCCATGCAGCTATTGTGCTTTTGAAAATGTGTGTTGTGTAGACGGCACTTGGTGAGTTCTTGTTTTGTACCATCTTACCCCTTTTTTTGTTACCTCGAAGACTAACGAGAAAACTAATCCCAGTCAGCATATTGAGCCTGATGTTGATAGCCATGACTCAATTGATATTCCAGCCGAGTTGTCTACATCTGGGGGAAAATAAGTTCTTGGTGGTTGTATGCAGCGGACCAGGATTGTCTTGTCATTTTGAGATCTCTGTATTTTGCACTCATACCATCTATCCTTGTTTGAAACTAGGTGTTTTCAATACTCTCGTCATTGATGCAACCAGTATTTAACACATTTTTTTCTCAGCCTCTAAAGTTTTGCCGAAAGGCCAGCCCACTGTGTAGTGTGTGCTAGCTGGTGGTGTGCTTTGAAAGAAAAAAAAAAAAAGACTGTGTCGGAAAAGGTCCTTTCGTTTTATTTAACTTGCTGGGCATTCTTTTTACACGTTCACCATGGAAAGTCACTTTTTAAGCCTCGGAGCACTGGCATTAAGGAGCCATGACGTGTCGAACGAAATGTGTACGTGAATAAAATGTGTATATATATATTCATGTACGGTGTGTCAGTGTTTTCTGCATGCAACAAAAGCAGATTCGCCGTTTCTTGTGCCTCGCAAAATGGTTTCAACAATTGCTCGCCCTTGTTACACTTTGGATATGTTCGAAGAGTTCCAAGGTGCCTTTACAAGATTGAGCTCCGCATAGCGAGCGTTTTTTCCAAAGTAGGTCTTGAAATCGTTCCTTATTGGAGGGTTTCGAAAAGATATACTGACCTGTTATCATGCCTGCTCATGTTATCATGGGGAATTGGCCAAGAACCGGGTAGTTCTAGCGAAATACTGTTAATTTGTTTGCCGACGTCTTTTAAACTAATCAGAAAGATCAAGAAAAAAACTTAATTATCAGATATTGACAACTAGAAATAACAGATATATAGAAATGAAGCAGAAAGTTTCAGTAACCACAATAAATGAATAAATGAAGCGATTTGAAAAACAGTAATTCAGTAATAATATGTTCTATGGTCTGAATCTCTTTGAAGCTTTAATAAGCTCCTGCAAGGTATCGTCAACTTTTACGTCAGTGAATCCTAGGGAAAAAGCCCCGAAAGAAAGTACGCTTTGAGTGTTTCACTCCAATTTTATGAGACAGAAAACAGCATCTAATGTAATTTTCCGCATTATGACATACCTTTTACATTATAGTGTCATGTGATGGTCTCTTGTATCAGGGACTCCACAAAACCAACAATTAGGGGAAGCAGCCAGACCAGCTCTGAGTAAATAAAAATCGATATAAAGAGTTTGACACCTCAGCCTAGTGATTGCGACATTAACTGCATGTGTGTGACACGTTATCGATATTTTATTATTCTAAGGATGATTTAGGTGTTGAAATCTTAACGTGTTCATTATGGATGGCAAAGAAAATTTTAACATCATTTTTCAATCTAGTCCCTATAATGGATTTAACTGCTGGTAATATGTGAATAACCGGGCCATTTACCGATGATTAGCTGACACATCTGCCATTTCATTTAAAAACAGCCCCTTATGTCCTGGTAGCCAAACCAACTTAACTAAATGCATATGCGGTGGAAATAACACCCTAAAGGTAAATCTGTAAAAATTACGACCGAACTAGTTGATGCAGTTAATTTTTGGGGAGCTAAATTATCGCAAAACATTCTGCTACAAAAATGGGTACAAATTCTGGAAGGCATAGAGAAAATGACCAATCGAGATCTGAATTCCACATTATTCTTCATTTTGCAAAGCATCCATCGCAATGACTGTCTTTATTGGTGAATGAACCAGATAATCACCCAGAAAAAATTTTAAAAGGCGATGCGACATTAGTTTTCCTTGTTTTGGAAAAATTTCGACAAACTATGTTTTAATATATAGAGCTGTTGGTATCAATGATTGGAGATACGGCACTAATATGGACACTTAAGTTGTCGAGAAAGCTCTATATATGGAAAACTTGAGGCGTGTGAAATCTCGGCCAGGGTTCTCCAAAGAAAAACTCCGGCTGGGAGATAAAAACTTTTCGGAACACCTTACCGGGGATTCATAAAGTTTGAAAAATGATTGTGCCACCAACAATTTGAAACGAGAATCATATGAGGAGTCTAGCTTCCAGTTACAAGACTTTAATTGCTACAAATTTAGGAATACCTAAACACAGGTACACAGGCTTGCCTCTCAAGGATAACAAGAGGGTAAAGCTTATAAACAGGAGCAACCAAATTCAAGGACCGGCCGAACCTACATGCAGTATATTGACAAAATCGTTTGCCTTCGCATGCTAAATCGACTATGACTAATCTTGTGTTACACACCGACTGCCCGAACACCCTTTAATGCGATATATTCGATGTGCACCTTCCGAGACATGGAGCGGTTGTATCACACACCAAGGTATTTTATTTGCTCTACTTGAGTAATATGCTCTAGTTGATAACTAAGTGAAATATGAAGATGGTCTGTCAAAGGAAGTGGCAGTACGGAGAATTCTCTGACATTCAGATGCAGGTGTATTCGATGCGAACGACATCGTTGTTTACCGGGCCAGGAAAAAGGTGAAATTTCACCAGAAACATAAAAAAAGCAGAGAACGAAAAACAGGCATGAGTGAAGCTTTCTAATCAAAATGCGAACAATCTTGAGCATAATAATATCATTTCAGTTTATACTTTATGCTACGCAGTACATAAAAGTTAGCATTCGTGGACTACATGCAAAAGCGTAGTAAAGAAAGGCGTGCTTGAGCTTTGTAGCCTTGGCTGTGCTGCCACAGAAATTGTCCCCTAAGTATAATTCACAATGCCGCTTTTTCTGTGGCTTCGTCTGGGGGCGGAAACTTCCTATACTATGGTCCCTAGAAAATATTCAAGAGACCATACCACCACTACCTCCCCCCCCCCCTCCCCGTATTCGCTCTCGGCAGCGGCAGCGCCGATTTTACCACTGGCGGTTGCCGGGCATCTTACTAGAAATAAATCAGGAACAGAAAATGTCTTTCATGACGTCCAGAAATAGAGGGAAAGGACGAAAAATCGAGAGCCGGCAACATCCCACTTCGCATGCAAGCGGAATGCGCCCGTGCCTTCTTTCAGGTCCGCTGGCTGCTCGGGCGATGCGGCCAATCGTAAAATTTTCTTAATGTTTTTCTTCTTTAATTTTGATTATGTTCGTGTTTTCTGAAAAGGCGAAAGTAAAGCTGACTGATTTCTCAGTAAGACGAAACTCGATCGGCACAAATAAAATTAACTTTTTATTGCACGTTTTGTATAAGAAACAGACATGCGCGTAGTGTGAAAGCTTCAATATATAAAAGCAGCTTTAACTTACAACTGACATACCGCCATATTGAGCAAACGTAGAACCGAGAATATCACAATCACTGCGAAAATGACCAATATTCACGTGTAGGACACGTATTTGACTCAACCACGTTTGTTATGACGACGCGCATAGTTTTCTTACCGAACTTCAATACCAAACGTGACTGAATGTCAGAAGCATGGAGGGGCTTGAAGCGATCAGAAGTTTTTCGAGAAGGAACGTCTCTGAAAATAGTGTTTCGGCAAGTTGACTTGTCTTAGATCGTTAGGGCAACAGCGTTGCCTTGACGAAGAAAAGCTCGCTTGTCAAAACGTTGGCTCCACGACATTCATCTGTAATCATCTTTAGAATCATTTATTCCATCACGTGTACTTGAGTGACACTATTAGAAGTAAAGGCTCACAAATTTTCAAAGCGCTGTTACAAGAGTTTCATGAGCTAGAAGCAACATGTAATTACTTTATACCATTTGACTACACGTACGCCGAAAGTAAAAGAAACTAAAACTAGGCTGCCGAGCCAACTCGAATTCAGGCACTTCAATAAACGCATTCTCCCGACAGTCACTTGGCTGCCGTCCTCACCAATTAATCAAGCGACACTGCACTTCTGTCAGTCCAGTCAGGCTGGCAGAGGAGTGGATTTAATCATATATATGTGCTCATGCAAAATCAATACCTACTCAAATAATGGGTCCAAATTCTGGTGCTCACCCGTTGCCTTTAGGAAACGCTGAGGAGCCTTCGCAGAACGAGAAATTCCCGAGTTAGCACACCGTAGAGCTGCGCAAAACATTTGTTATTCGTTCCATCTTCAACGAATGCATGGTTGATTTGTCCGGCGTAGCTCACTGCGGCTTCCATTCTCTGCCCACCACAGCTTGCTGTCTCTATCTTTCCTATAGTTGACACGCCAACCGAGTGAGATAACTGAGCGCGATCCAACTTTTAAGATCGCTGGGTGGTGGTGGTAGTAGTATATAAGAGGAAGAAGACACGTAATTTATGCTGCCCGGTGGGGAGCACAGCGTAGTGCCTGCGGGGAAGGGGAATGAAAGAAAAGGGGACAAAGGAGAAAAAGGTTAAGTAAGCAGTGGCGCAGACACCTTCAGCACGAACAGCAGTCCGGCAGCAAGGATAGTACCGCTTTCAGCGGTAGGCCGTGATTCCCGTCTCGCCCATGAACTCCACCAGGCTCCGGGACGCCGGTAGGTGGGGACGACAAGAGAAGAGCAGGTGTTCCAGGGTGGTTGCAGAAAGGCCATGTTTCCGGCAGGCCGCGGTGACCGTCGAGCGTTTCTGTTCCAAGGAAGGGCAGGCACAGAGGAGGTTATCGAGAGTCCCGGGGTCGCCACTATGACTGCAGGCTGGGAAGGCGCATCGTTCCTTGAGGTAGCAGCGGGCCGTGGTCCACACGCATACGGTCCGCAGCAGGTCGGCTCGTTCCAACATGGTAAGGCCTGCCTCTGGAAGACGCCTATGTCCCCACCCGTTAGCCACCCTCTGGTCCGGGTGGACCGAGGTGAGGGGCTTCTTGATGCGAGCCTGCGTGTAGTCCCATGGCCGCCGCAGCCGGCGTGATAGGGGTGGCCGACTGGTGTGCTGCCTTGGGGCCAGCTATGCCCGCCTTCTCGTTGCCAGCTATGCCCACGTGAGAGGGCAGCCAGTGGAAGGAGACGGACGTCCCGGTCGCCGCAAGGGCCGGGTACTTGGATGCCAGGAGACTCCCCGTGAGCCCGGCACGGCGATGATTGGCCAGCGTCTGCAGAGCTGCCTTGCTGTCACACAGGACGGCAACCAGCTCAGCCGGTACGTCCTCGGCCAGCAGGTCCACCGCCAGGTGTAGTCCTGCCAGCTCCGCATCCGCCGAGCTCACCGGGAAGGGATGTCGGCACTGCCTGCTGACGGCCCGGGATAGGATGCCGCAGGCAGCCGGCGCTGTACCGTCTGCCATGGCGGATCCGTCGGTGAAGACCTAGAACCGCCCTGCCAGTTGCTGCTGGAGCTTAAGGTTGCTTGGCTAGGGGCGAGAAGGAGCGCAGGAAAGCGCTGCGAACGCAAGTCAATCCCTCCCCGCGCTTCGCCAGATTTAAAATTCACAAAATAAGCAACAAAAAAGACGTACGTATAAAGTAAAAAAAAGTTCTTTACAGCAGTGTCGAATTTTTTCTTTGTAAAGACTTGTGAAAGCCAATAAATGCGA